GATGACGTCCACGCGCTCATTGATTTTGGCCTGTTCCTAGAAAAAAAACAAGAAATTCCGCTTCATGTAACTATGACTAAAGAGTCACGACAGTGCTGCAAATCGTTAGATTGACGTGAAACCCGTAACGTGAAATAGGTAAAGAGCACATGCTTTGATGATGAATAAAAGACTTCTTGCTTGTTACACTGTGTCACTTCATGCAATTTGTGTCCTAACATTTGTCGTCTCGTAGTATATTTCTAATCTAGGCATCTTGTTTTTTAGGGCCCTTCTTGCTTTTTTTTCGCCCTCTCGCATTAGATTTAGGGTGTCCAAAGGACGTCATCCATAAAATTTACTTTGTGTGGCCTTAAAGCAAAAACTTGCCAAGTAACGCTCAATGGGGTTTATCAATTGTTGAAGTGTGATCTGTCATATCTCATTAATTGTATCAATAACTATGCCAATAATGCTATTGTAAGAGAATATCATTTTTTATGAACTGGCGTGTCCTAGTATCGTATTGTATACTTTATTGAGTTGATGCCATAATATAACGTCTTTGCTTATTGCGAGTTTATCACAAATGTCGTGGATTGGGACATCAAAACAAGTCATGAAAATTGTTTGATAAACTCTGTGTGTTTATGTTCATGTTTTACAAATCAAAAAGTCATTTATTTTGAAGAAACGTTATGGTATAGTTGGAACTGCCCAGTGACGCAAACATTCCAAGGTAACTGCTGTACCTCTATAGATGTACCGGGTAGTCAATATCAAGCTGTTTTTAATAATAATACTGAAGAATTCTATTTTATTAATCTTCAGACAGCATTATGATTAATTTTAAAGGCATTTCCAGCAATATGTCATGAAGTCAACCCTACATTTGACATATTCAATGACTGGTGAAATTTACAGACTGTATTTATGTTTACATTTCCACAGGTTTTGTCAACACACGTACGCTTGATTGCCCGTCTTTTGTACATACCTTGTGAATAATTTACCAGCAACATCTTGTACTTGGTACATTTATAACCCTTAAGGATCCCATTTACACCACAAGAATGTAGATTTTATGGCAGAAACGTATTTGTGTCCTGTGTGTCCTACATTTGTTAAAGTCATTGTTTATTGTAGTGTATTGTGTGAAGACAATAGGCTTTTTTAGATAAAGGTGCTGATTGACATGTGGTTTATGTGAATGAACTCAAACACAAAACAACAAATTATTCTTTATTCACCAGAACAATGGACTGTAAACTTTTACTTCAATAGTTGATTTCAAGCATTTAGTTGCAAATAAAGGTTTCATTCCTTTACATTCCTGATGTGTATTCAACTCCATCTGGCTTGAATATGGATCATATGAGCACAAAGACCAAACTAGCTTTGATTTGTATTGAAATGAATGCAGGTATTTCAGGTATTTCCAACCAATAGTTAGCGCCTTTCTTTTTTGTTATAAAATATTTAATATGTATTTTTCTTTCCTTTCAACAATCTTGTGCAAATGTTTATTATGATGTTACTTCTGAATGTTTTGCACACATTGTATGATTCATCCTTTTCAGTCCCAAATATGTTATAATAGAATAGAGTGACAACTTTCATGCACATTAAGTTCATGCTACATACATTGTAGCTTATCATAGTTTAGTGAGTATCTGTATATGTATTGCTGGTATAACCGCCCTTCAGCGTAACACACCAGTTTCGCAGGCATGCGGCGCGGCGGCAGCTGGCTACATTACACCGAACAATTTGTTACACCTAACCCTTGAACATCTAACTCTAAGCTTAAAAAGCTATCTAATGATAATGCCCCTACTGTACTTAGTGACAGCGAGTTCCACTCTGCGATAGTTCTAGGAAAGATTGAGTTTTGAAACACCTCAATCCTTAGTTGATAACTCTGATACTTGAAGGCATTGACTATTTCTTGTTCTTTTCTGAGCAGGTATTAGGTACTTAATAGTTGGTACGTCCACCAGTTTATTAGTCATATAGGGACTAATAAATAAATACTATGGTAGGTAACACCCTTAATGACTCAGACTTTGTTAAGTGGGAGGGAATTGTTGACTTTGGTAAGCCGGTAACCTCCTGGTCATACTGTCTCCTCACCTGCGGAATTTAAAACCTTCCATCTATCAAAGGTTAAGTAGACAGGGGCAAAGGGGAGGGAATCTTGATGTAAATGGTTTAAGAATGACCTGTAACAAAGCTTTTTTTCTCTCCAAACTGTTACAGTTAATGTTTTCTGATTCTAAATCGAGACTGCAATGTGGGCTTTTTGCAAGGATAAGGCCACACTGACTTAATTTTATGGATAACATTTGCAGGCACTTTGATTTTCACCTGATTTTCACAAAAGAAAAGAATCACCGAGACCCTAGCCTGGTTGCCATCCTCCGTAGTCCATGGTAGCTAGCGACATATGGGAGCTGGCGGTAACTACAGAGGGCAGCACCCAGGCTACCGAGGCTCCACGGAACTCAGTACATTATAAATACCCCAAAAGGCCAGCATGTGCCGGCTTGTCCTAAAAGTCATTATGTACTACCGCAAATTCAGAATATCACCTTTGTATTCCTGTGGTTTGGCAGCATTTTCTTTTTGGCTGTATTTTTTTTCAGTATTTGCCCACGCACACTAGTTTGAGGGGGTCTTTTTTTAATACAGTGTGGCCTAAGTAGATTGTGTTTAACTTTAAGGAGGAGCTTTAGCAGACATCCTCCCAGGTGGCACCTCCACCCACACATATTTACCATCACATCAGCCATATTAAAAGGTTAACAAATAGGTCACCTTTCCAGATTCAAGGTCGGGGCTAATTTTGTAGCAGTACAGGGGATATTTGGTAATTACATCCTTGGAGCACTTAACGGCTTGATGAGAGTTGGCTGATCCTAACAGTAACATGTTTTCAGTTGAATGGTGGCATTGAAGATTGAACTACAAAGTTTAACGTGGTTTGTACTGTAATACATGTACATTGTACCAGTATACCACTAAAGGCACCAAAACCCTCAACCTATGGCTTGTTAAATGACCTACTTTGTATACATTTTATCTCTATCATGTCTATGGAGTGAATTCTGTTGAAAATACATGTAACATATACTACAGGGAGTCGAAATACTCCGGGGTGCATGTGCGCCTTAGTGCATGCACCCAAATTGGGAGCTGTGCTCTCAAATTTTTTTCTGTGGGTGCACTGGTGTACCCAAATATTTTTAAAGTTTACATGTACATAAAGATGTTAAATGTATAGTAGTATACAGCATATTATTAATTCTTAAAGTGTCAGAAGAATAATAAAATCATTGTACTTTTCTTTAGAAATGAAACATACATGTAATTAGTTTTTTATATATAGTGCAAAAAAATTTTTTGTGCACCCAATTTTTGGGAGCCAATGCACCTATTCCCAAAAATGAATTTCGTGCCCTGATACATGTACATTTCGAGCACCGTTACTAAAAGGTACAATTTGCTTTTTTTTTTTTTTTTAAAGATTCAAATTGTGGTTTTACAAGTTTTTCATATTTTCAGTCCGAAGGGTGTGAAATTAATACCACTGCCAGGATTGTTACACTTACTGAAGCTGGTTTAATTGTGAATGACCTTGCCTTGGCTGTCCATGACCTTGGTTGTTTTATGTCTGTTCCCCATCATTCCATACCCATAATGCCTCACCACCCCCATCATCACAGATGCTTTCAACCTTCCCATATTTGACTGTGGTGGGTGGATGGAAAAAATTCCTGTCTTATGTCTCAGACATGCTGCAGTCAACCTCTTTGGCTTTTAGACACTATTTATAACTGGCAAATGCCAGACCTTGATTATTAAGACTTTTAAACACTGTCCCTATTATGGTAAGTATTTAAAGTGCATTGCCCTTGATGTTGAACATCTGGAATTATACCTTTGCTAAGCTGCTGTGTGATCTGGGTCTATGGTCTCAAAACTACCTAAAGGCCCTAGGACAGTTATCAAATTAATGCAACATAATATGAGGGCTAAAATACAGACATCAGTCTATGTTTCAGATACAATGTATTTATCAATGGAAGAGAAACCATACATTAGGATAGTGTAGACTGCTGGCTTTATTTGGGTAGCCTTTTAATATACCCATTTTTAACATGTTTGTTATGTTTATCGAGGGAAAACATTGTTTTTGCTACGTTTCTTCTCCATACAGTGACCTCTGGTCTGACTGAACCAGACTGTCTCTCACCATGGAAACATAATGTTGCAATTTTATAGTAGGAGGTATTTAGACTCCTGTTACCATATATGTGAATGTGTTTTATATTGAGTAAGATGAATTAGCAGAGCAGACCATATGCTAAGGTAAAGATTATGCATTTGCTTTGCAAATGTTACGTTTCTAGTTCATTTTTCTTCTTTTGTGCTTGTCCTAAACTTAAAGTGTGATGTAATGTGGCACTGGGAAAGTTCAGTTAAAGTTCTCTTAAACCAGCCTTAACCTATGCGGTTGGTTGTGTTTTCCATCATCATCTGAGACAGACTGTAGCATCCATTAACACACCGCAGATGCCCGTTTCCAAGACGCCGAGCTTTACACAAAAGGGTTCCCTGACATTTGAGAGGAAGGCCACTAACGATGTATGGGACTCCGGGTCCAAGGCTAAGGCCCGCCTTTTTATTTCCCGCCTTCTGGGGCCACTCAAAAGGTCTAGGCTGCCAGACGTTTCCGCGCGACTGTGAAACGTCATGGTGATCCCGACCAATCACCGCGCGAGTTACGGGGTCAAATTTCTTCCATAGCAGCAGACCGTGGCGGATGCCAAATGGCGATCGATAGTAATTAAATCAAACAAGCAGTTTACATGGATAATCTTACCGCGAACTATATTATATCTTTAATTATGAGATAATATTCTAACGTGATATCATGTGTGACAGGACGCGTTTGAGTGTTCGGCTGGAAAGAAGTCACGGCTGCTTTCTTCGCGTTTCGCTGTCAGCCTCATAATGTGACAACAGATGCGGATCCATATGGGGGCCATATGAGAAACACTCGCGGCTTATTTACTCCAGCTGTGGTAAACAGGTGTCTTGGTGAGAGAGACTTGTCTTGAAAACTTGCAAGGCGTCTAGAAAGGGCTTGTGGGGATCCAAGACTCGCGTGCCAAGCGGTAGAGGTGTCAGTGTGAGAGCCGAGAGTTCCCCATACACACGCCGGACAGGTCAGCTAGGCCCAGCCCAGTTCCGTGCGCAGAGGGTGTGCGCAGTGCGGCTCACCTGATCCGTAGGTACACCTGAAATCCACACTGGGTCGGGTCGTGTCTTTTATGCAAATCCATTGTTTGTGACGGGCATGCGTCACATATTTGCGTGGAGTGTCAATACAGAACACCGTCGCCATATTCCTGTAGCAGGGGCTGGTTGTTAGTCCGCCTGCCGCCAACTTGAAGTTTCTTTTTCCTTTTCTGTTCTTGATACGGACTGTTTTTTTCGGGCGCGATGAGCTCGCCGTTAACACCGCCTCGCGTGTGCGTGCTGAGCAAGGCCGGGGGCAGGGAATACGGCTTCCACCTGCACGGAGAGAAGGGCAAGCATGGGCAGTACATCAAGAGCGTAGACGCGGGCAGCCCAGCCGAACAGAGCGGGCTCAGACCCGACGACCGGGTCATCGAAGTCAACGGCATCAACATCGAACGGGAGACACACCAGCAGGTGGTTGACGCTTCCTTACCTCACATAAACCTATCGTTTAACTCACCAGTCGTTTCGTAGACTTTCACGAGTGTATTTAGTGCCCAAGTATGGGGCCTGTACCATAAAGTAACCCAAAAAGTTGACACGTAATGGCGTACGTGGTGTTGGCTCTCGGTAACATAAACATTACAAGTATGTAGGCATAAAAGGGGTGGGATTTTGGGGGGGACTCCAACACTCACGCCTTTGCTTCACATTCCTAGGTGGTGATTCGCATCAAGGAAAACCCGATGGAAGTCAGGTTACTGGTGGTGGACCAGGAAACGGACAACTACTACAAGAAGCAGGGAGTAACAGTGAAAGAGTCCATGGCTGCTGTGACCACGCCCGTTGCTGCTGATCAAACACCTGAGCCGCCGACACCTGTAGAAACGGCGTGGACCACCCGGAGCCCGAGCCGGTCGCCGCGGTGATGTCGTCCCCGGTACAGGCCGAGGAGCCTCCCGCCCAGAGGGTAGCGGTGCCCCCCCACCTCGCCCCGCGCCTCTGCCACATCGCGAAGGGTGATTCAGGGTACGGCTTCAATCTCCATGGAGAGAAGGGACACAGGGGCCAGTTCATACGGGCCATCGACGCCGGTTCCCCCGCCGAAGTCGCCGGACTTAAGGTCCAAGACAGGCTTGTTGAGGTTAGCATTTAAACCCTTTTTCCTGTTACAACTTTTCCCCTTAGGGTACCGAAATTACAGAACTCTTTTCTAGAGGAAATGAAATACTGAAGCTGTAACACAATATGTCGCCACAGGCGTGTCGAGTGGACCAGCTGTAGTGTTTTCCGGTGACTCAATGTTTTCTTTCCTCCGACAAAAGCCTTGGAAACACACAAGTTACGATATCCGCTCACGAGTCAAAAGAGATAAAATCACACATCAAGTTTTTTTTTATTGTTAGGGGCAACTTTAACTTGGCCCCACCCTAAACCCCCCTCCCATTTTGCCACCCAAGCGTTACAGGTGTCTTCCCAGGATACTGCCTATGGAGCGTATTGTATCAGATTACTGCAAGTATGTAAATGGTGTCAGCACACAAGTGTGTTAGGTGTAGTTAGGATTAGACTTAAAAGCTGAGGTGCCAGTGTGTGTTTTTAAGTGGAAATGAACATGAGTGGGTGGCGTTTTTTTT